GTATCAACTGCGCCTGACGAATTTCAAGCTTGCATGGATGAGATTCTTGGAGACTTGGAATTTGTTCGAACTTATCTTGACGATATTATGGTATTCTCGAAAACGTTTAGTGAGCACATGGAGCACTTACGCATTGTATTCGATCGGCTGCAAGACGCCGGACTCACACTGCACCCCAAGAAGAGCAAAGTATGTGCCGAGTTTGTCGAGTACCTGGGATACCAAGTGAGCAGGCACGGAATATCTGCGCTTCCCAACAAGGTGGAGGCTATTCGCGCCTTAGCAGCTCCTCGCAACCGCCGTGACATCAGAAGATTTGTCGGTATGGTTAATTATTATCGTGACATGCTGCCGCGGCGTGCAGCATTGCTCAGCCCATTGACGCGGCTGACTTCACCAGTGTATACATTCAGATGGGGTGATTGTGAACAAACCGCGTTTGATGCCATCAAAGCGGCCTTGACAGAGATGGTGCTCCTCGCGTATCCGAAGTCAGGCCGCCCATTCCACGTCTACACCGACGCCTCCAAGGACCAGCTTGGAGCAGTGATCATGCAGGACGGCCAACCGATCGTGTTTTGGTCCAAGAAGTGCAACCATACACAAGCGTTATATCCAGCCAATAGACTCGAGTTACTGAGTATTCTGCTACTCTTACGGGAATTTCGCAGCACTCTACTTGGTCAGGAGCTCCATATTCATACTGACCATCTCAACCTCACGTATTCAACGTTTCATGACGTGCATATGATGCGATGGCGATTGGAGATAGAGGAGTATGGACCCATCATTCACTACGTCTCGGGCGCCAACAACACTGTTGCAGATGCTCTGTCCCGCTTACCGATGACAAGTGCTACTGGGTCCACACTGGAGGAGAGAGAGTTGAAAAAACGTGACAGCCACATAAGTGCGATGGTAACACGATCATCGGATACTCGACAGGCAACTACAGCGGAGTTTAATCTCGACATGCATGACCTTGCCGCGGCTCAGGACCAGGACAGCATGATCAAGAAAGAGACAAAAAAGGAAGTCTCGGGTGTGGAACTCTGGGTGACAACGGACAACAAAAAGATCATTGTACCTGATAAGTTGCAGGCAGCACTCGTTGCAAATTACCATGAAGCATTAATTCATCCGGGTGCGGACGCAATGAAGGCAACGATTGGTCAAGTTTTTCACTGGAACAAGATGAACCAGGACATTGTGCAGTTCTGTGAGAAGTGCTTGGCGTGTGCCAAAGCTAAGCACCCGACAAAGAAATACGGAAAGCTGCCAGAGAAGACTACCACAGTGTGGCCATGGTTTGAAATAGCAGCGGATTCGATCGGACCTTATGGAAAACACAATTTTCGTGCGCTATCAATTATTGACACATCCACAAGGCTACTTGAAGTGGTGCCAGCAATTGATGGTACGAGTAATGAAGCAGCCTACCTACTCGACACACACTGGTTGTGCCGGTATCCACGTCCGACTCAGTGCATTTACGACAGCGGCAGTGAGTTCAGAGGTGAATTTACTGAACTATTGGATAGTTACGGTATCCGGGGTATTCGGACGACGGTACGGAACCCGCAGGCAAACTCAACGATAGAGCGCGTGCATCGAGTAATTGGCGAAAAGATGAGAACCCGCGACATCAACTCAAACGAGAGCTGGACCAACTTTCTGAGGAATCTTACATTCGCTCTACGAGCGACGCACCACTCGATGACGGGGGCCTCACCCTCTCAACAAGCATTTGGCAGGGACATGTTCGTGGACATGGCACACGTCACGGACTGGAGTCAGCAACACAAGCAGAAGCTCAAACAGATTACAGCAAACAACGAGCGCGAAAATTCACACCGTGTTGAGTGGACATACCGACCAACCGAC